ATCTGAATAAGCGCAGAGTGAGCACTGTGACCCCTGCGAAATCCCGACTGCAACGGATCGATGAGCCGCTCACGCCCAACAAACTCCTCGATCTGACGCAGAGCAACAAATTCAAGAAGCTTAGACAGCGCGCAAGTAATACTGATGGGCCTCCAGTCATCAAGGTTCCGAGGAGGAAAGCGCTTGGGAATCGGACGAATAGTAGCCCGCTTCCAGCCGGAAGGAAAGACAGCCGACTGCAAAGAAAAATCAAAGACATGCAGAAGAACAGGCAAGATCGAAGGCATACATCCCCTAATTAAGGAGAGTGGCAGGTTATCCGGGCCTCTGGCATTCGATCCAATCGACGCCAGAGCATCCAGTACGTCCGTGGGGTTGACGTGGCGAAAATAAAAACCATCACCTACATGTCTAAGAGTCCGCGCCTGCTCGACGCGTGGTGCGGCAATAGCGTCGCCACCATCGGCGAAATGTGTATTTAAAGCTTCGACGTCAACATAAATGCCGTCAGTTGAGCGTTCCTTCACACGCATACCAATCTCATCGATGCAGCGCCAAAGCTTCCTAGCATCGGTGCACCCGGAGAGCCTATCGCGATAATAGGCTGATTTAGCATTACGAATTTTGTTTTTCACCTGATTGCGCAGATGCCTGTAGATCAGCTGGTGCTCCGGTTTACCCGTCCTTCTATATACCGTCCATGATCTGTTGCGTCGAGTAATTAAGGACTTGAGCTCTAAGCAGAACCATGGAGCACGTCGCTTTTTGGCAGTAACGCTTCGATAAGGGGCATGGCGGTCATAGAGCCCTATTATGGTCATCGTAAGCCAATCAACTTTCTCGTTTATGGTGTCAAAAGTGTGCAACGTGTCCCATCGGATAGCAGATAGATCCCGTCCAAAACTATCCTCCTCGAATGACGCGAAGCTTCGGCACATAATTCTAGTAGTCAAAGGCGCAGGCACCAAGAAGTCAAACTCGGCCAATAAAACGTCATGCCAAGAGATAGACGGAGAGCTAAATTGTTCACTTGAAAGCACCCGAGAACGATCACTGACACATATATAGTCTATAGTAGAGTGTGACGACTTGGTATGGTGCGTGGGATCGAAAGGCAGAGGCTCAAGACCAAAAGCATCAAAGCAGCCACTGATAATCCTTCGCGGAGTGGAGTCAACGGCCCAATCAATGTTGAAATCGCCTACAAGCAACGAGTAGTCACACGATCGACTACAATTGAGCAGCGCATCCTCCACGTCAGACCAGTATCCACTTTTAGGCGGGCTGTAAACAACCCCTAACAATATCCATGTGTTTACTATGCGCAGCTTAATAAACATAAACTCGGGTCTAACTGGGCCATCAGGCCGATAAACCGAGCGACCAACAATTTCACCTCGACAAGAGACACTCACATACGCCGCCACACCTCCACCAGCTCTGCCCGGACGGTCCACTCGGAGCAACTGGTAGCCATCAATGTTCAGTAGATTGGAGTGCCTTTCCGGCTTTAACCAAGACTCACTTATCGCCATAACATGAGGAGCACGGTCGCGGATAATCTGTCTAACATCGATAAAATGGGGCTCGAGCGATTGCGCATTGATATGGCCAACCTTGAAAGTAGAAGCACTACACTGAGCCATAGTCTATCAGTGAAATAATTCGCTCAATACGCTTACGCAACAGTGGGCACTTTCCCCTGTCGGTGGCAGAATGCGAAGCGGCCTGCAATTTGTTGGCAGTGCAATTCACGCAGCATGCGGTACCTCTCTTATTACAGCTTTTAGCTTCGTGGGCCCCGGCGCAGTGACCACATCGAGGATTGTTCTTGCAGTCTTTAGCAATATGGCCGAATTGACAGCACTTGTAGCACTGAACAAGCGAAACGTGATCGTCATAACGGCACGAAGACCATCCAATACTAATTCTAGGGCGCTGACGCAGGGCAATCCTCACAGCAGGTTTGACCTCGATCACACAGGATCTCGCCTTTTTTCCATCGCGTATTGGGTACAGGTAAATAACTTTAACGTCAGCGGTAGTAAAGCCATTGAGGTTCTGGTCCAGTATTGAATCGACAATATCCTCCTCCTTCAGTTCACAAGGAATATCATGCAAAATCATCCTCGGGTTAAGCTTGAGGTCAGGCTTGATCTCAAGTCCGGCCTCAGCGAGAGAAGTACACTCAGCGATCGCCGAGGCCTCCAACGAGTCACTTTCTATGATCACTGAACTCTCGGGCCCATAAAGCATCCGTTGCACGTCAAATTTCATGCTTCTAGGGTTTATAGTGCGCAAAATAGCCTCCTTCGTATCCTTCGACGAAGGAAAGTCGGGGCGGCGGCTCTCAATAGGGCCGAGTGTTAACCGTTTAGCTTGCTTGGCCGCGAAAAATTTGCCGGTCCCCAGTGAAACTCTCCGCGATGCCAAAGCAGCGGACGTGGAACGAGACAAGACATCAGCGAAAGAGAGACCACGTACATGGGGTAGGACACTACCAGACATCGATTCTGCTGTCTTCTCGATACGTTGACAAGTGCTTTCAACTACCGTATTGCATGATTCGACCACCCGTTCCTCATGAAGCTTACACATGTAGGCGCTAGTAATAGAGGTAATCGCTTCGCAGAAAGAATTTACGGCTGACCGGATGGTTTTCTTCAAGCCAGTATCCTTCTCATTGCAAAGACGCTCAAGCAGTATATCGCGATCATCGTTAACGCGCTTCAAAAGCTTGTTTACATCGTCAGCAGTCAGAAGCAGAGACAGTGAGTCGCCGTTCCCAGGGGAATCATCGCAGCGTGGCCTTTTACGCGTCTTATCGCTCGTAGGCACCTCATCATTGTCCGAATCCATCGTCGACCAATCAGAGCTCGAGCGCTCCCACTGTTGCGGTCACGTCGGCACCAAGCGATCCGAGGAACAACCGCCACAGACTGGGAGGCACGCGCACTCAACAAAATGGTCCAGAACAAATAAAGTACACAACACTCGGCCAAACACACAACAGCAACGGGATCAGCACAAAAAATGCACACAAGAGTCACACTCAAAATAACTATAGGCACCATCAAAGCGAAAAATATCGCAAAGAATACGGAGCCACTAGAGGTACGTGTACACACCCGACCGCCATCAGACGAGAGAGGGAAGGGGGAGGCGGACGCTTTGGAAAATTAGAAAGAAGGGCAAAGAGGAGAAGGAGCACTGCAGTGCACCAGAGAAGGGTGGATCCCTCTGGTGGATGAATACGTTCGCCGCGGGAATTATTTATTCGACTCCTTCCGAAAACTCTCGAGGCAAACACCAGCCGCCCTGGTGTGTGTGTATATATGTATATGGGGCGGGCTAATTTATTTGCTCGCACGACGGCCACGTTACTGTACGATTAATGCACGACGTGCAGCTTATTTTCCATTGCGAAATAATAAACAAACAATTAGCTCGTAAAGTTTTGCTTTTGCCGCTGCTGCCAGCCATATACCCTGCGGATCCAGGGACACGAGGCAGCGGAGGATAACGAATTCCACGCGCGCGTTTCATTATCCGCCCTGTTGTGCCCGTCCGTCTATCCTGGCCGTATGGTTATACGTATAGGTACACACCCACGTACGTACAGTTGGCAAAACTCGGGGATTTTAACAAAGCGTGCCCAGAATTCCCCCAATCTCTTGTCTCTCGTGTATTATACAGCAGTGAGCTTGGCTATTCGTGCCTCCGTATACACACAATACACTTGCCTTCTTTGACGCGACAGTGCCACCCCCCCCCCCCCCCCCCCCCGATAACTCTATCTCTCGCGCGGACTAATTTTCACCAAAGCGAACGAACCGAAACGCGGAATTGGACCCTGCACTTGTGGGATCCCCCGACTTTTCTCTCCGACAAAATTACTGCACCCCTCTCCCCCCCCCTCCAAGCGATGTAAAGAAGAGTTAAGGTGACGACGCGCGAAAACACGAGTTCGCAACTTTGCGATCGACACTCGTGACTGGTAAAAACAACAACAAGCGAGTGGTCCGGATAAAATGTGCGAGGCGCATCACGACTGACACGCAATTAGCGGGATTATCCGGGTACGGCGCGATCGCAAATCGGGCTTAGCGCCCCCCCCCCCTTCGGTACTCCCCTGACCCCCCAAACCCCCCAGTTTGAAGTCCACGATTTACTGGTCGTCGTTTTACCTTTTCTTTTATTCCGCGCTCGCTCGCGCGCGACACTTTTTATTTCGACGTTTCGCCGATTCGCCATCGGCTTTTATGCAGCATCCAGTAAAAGCTTTCTCTCTTTCTCTGTAGTTCTCCCCACTTTCGGAGCTATCCGGCGTGGTGACGCGCAACTGAGTGATTCTAAAAAAAAAAAAAAAAAAACTTGCGATTCAATTTATCACGAGCACTTTGAAATATTCGACGAGAACGATTCGCTCCGCAACGGGGACGTATTTACCTATTGTGTATACCGGTCGACTCCTTCGGAATTTAAATTTTTTTTTCCCGCGCAAAAATTATTTATGCGCTTCGTTGAAATCACATTTTATCGAGCCGCCGTTTATTGCTCTCCCCCCCGATGATTGAGCGCGTAACGCGAATACTCGGCTTTATAGATTTCCTCGTTTTATCTCGAGAGTACAATATTAGAAAAGAGCCCGGGGATTCCCCCCCCCCTTTCCTTCCCGATAAGCAAGTTGAGTGTTCCGAGACTCGCGCGTCGCGCAAAGCCGTCTCAGCCAGTCGGCTGCAATAATCAGTTGCGTAAACATAAACGCCTTGGCCTCGGCTCTTACGATCTATATATATGTACTGTACCACCACCACCACCACCTGGCACTGGTAACGTACACACAACCTATATACATATACTACTATCATACACATACTTGCATGGGATTGAGGAAAAACTCATCCGTTTTGCTTTATCGCCGTCGCAGCCGATAGAAGTGAGGTAATGCAAGGCAGGAGTGTCTCTTCTCCGGCTGATTGCATGAATTTTTTTTATCGCTCGCTACCTCCTTCCGTTTTACATTCCCGCTCGATTCATTCATCAATAACGTGTGCGAACACCTCTCGATGTTGACATCTCTGCTCGTACCTGTGAATTCTTTTCGATAGAACCTTTCGTAAAAAGCTGGTGAGAGATTTTTTTCTTCTTTTTTTTCATCCTCCGTGTTAACGTCGTGCGCTTGGAATTTCATAAAAATCGCGTTGCTGCTTTTAAAAGTTTACCGGAAATTCATGTGCTACACGAATTTGGAATCGTGAAGAATTTTTTTTTACCAATACACGATGATCGTTTCAATTTTTTTTTTTTTTTTTTTTTTTACATACGGAAAGAAACATTTACAAAACCGGTTATTCGTTTCAGTCGTCTAGTTAAAACGTTGAAAAATGTCGAGTATATCACGCGAGAATTGAAATTCACATGTATGACGCGAAGTAAAAAAGTACGATTCTTACATATGATAACGAAGAGAAAAAAGAATAATCAGAAAATGATAAATCAATTGAAATAATATCTCATTCGCTTATCGATGACTCATTTGACTGTATAATTATATCGATGAACCTATTGATAACCAAAAATAACGCGTTAACTCGCTCATTTTGAAATAAAATAAAGTCGTTGTCGTAGCTACCGAAGTACTAATTTATGGAGTATAAAAAAAAAAAAAAAAAAAAAAAAACAATAACGCATCGGTATATAAAAACACGGCAATCGTCAGCAACGGCTCAAAGTGCACGTTGCACCAATGCTCTTATCAACACCGCAAACTCGAGCGTAGAAACGTTACACTGCCCGGCAAAGCCGAACAACTATAGGGAAAACTAAAAGCACGCCGGGGGATCCCTGTGATCGCATCCAAGTCACGTGCGCGACTTTTTGTGTACAAGCTGTTACGCTCTTTTTTTTTTTTTTTTTTTCTTCTCTCGTTGTATGGTTAACCAGCCGGCTTGTGTGTGTACCCCCCAAGATTTTCACGGATAAATAAATACGTTGTTCGTAAAAACCGAGATGATGCAATAAAAGGCGGTTCGCTTTACAGACCCGATCGCGAATGGACCGCGGGCGAATTTTCGAACCGGTCGTGCGAGTACATTTTACACGTGTATGTATATATTTGGTGAACAAAAGCCCGATTGATTTCATTCGCGCGCGGAGCAAACGACGGCTTTGGCAATTATTTTTGTTTGTTTTATTTTCGTCCCGAATGATTTATCGGCGACAGGGCAGTTTTTCGCGTTCGTTAAATCCGCGCGCATCAAGCAATTTGTCCCATCACTCTTGGTTACACGCGAGGGCGCGTGTTCGGCTCGCAAAAGTTTGCCAAACAAAAGTAATAATCCGACCCTGTACCGCTTGGGTCCGGGGGCGTTTGTGTTGACAGTTGCGCGGCGCATGGAATCATGAGCGATGATAATACAACCGCGCCGGGACTGAAGCGCAGACACTCGGGTATGGCTTTTTGCACTTACATTTTTGGTTTTCGTTTTGGCGCGCGATGTGATGGAAAAATAAAAATGCAGGTGTCGAGGCGGTGTCGGGCGACGTTGGAGGGGAAAGGAGCGCGGAAGAGGAGCTCGAAGGCGCGTGGCAGAGTGTCAAGTACTACTTCAACAGGTTTAGGTACTACCACTTTTTGGTCGCGGACACGGTCGACAAGTACCTTTCCGCGGCCTGCCTCGTCATAATCAATTGGTACTTCAAACTGTTCATGGGCGTCAACGAGCCGGCCTCGGTGATCACCGAAGAGGACTGAATTGTGTGTATAAATATTGACTTGTCCACAATACCACGTGAATAAACATTTCGTACCATTACCCTATATATATACTAACTAATTTTCTTTTCTTGGGTAAAAAATGTATGTGTATGAAAAAAAAACTGGTGCAGCAGAGAGTGGTGAAAAAAAAAGGGGGGGTGGAAGCCCTATCTGGTTGTACCTTTGATATACATGGAGCGTATTGTGCACGGCATGTGAAAGATGAATATTTTCATCTGCTGTACCTATACCAGTGCGAGCTGTGGGTGTGTAGCTTAGCAAATCATTTTTGTGGGCAAAAAAAGTAGCCGCAGTGGCTTTTCCGAGCAGGACGTTTCTCCGGGTCTTGCAGGGCATCTGAGAGATCGTGACAATCGGACGACGGGGAATAAGCCGTAGACTTTATTGATATCACGTTGGAATCAGAAATACGTTAATATAAAGTTTTTTTTAAAGAAAAGTAAGGGGCTTTTAAGTATTTGTGCAAAATAGCACTGTTAACCATATTTTAGGGGCCTACATAGAATAAATATCGGACAAACCTCATACGTTTGCGTGTATTGCATATACGAGAATTTTTTATTGCGCGCGCCTGCTGTGCTTTCATTGGTGAGTTAAAATATTTTTCTTTTTTTTTTTTTTCCATTTTATAATGTAGTAAAAATATACGTGTTTAGAGCAAAACAAACAGTTTATAGACAATATCCATGGACTCATTTCAAGTGAAAAGTTACTTTTACACTTATGACAGTCACATTGGAAGAAATCGCGGGCAAAGTTCCAACAAAAATATTTTTTTTTAAATCTCATGCCTGAATATGTAAAAAATACATGGAGTGACGATCAAATCGTGAAAAGTGAATAAAAAAAAGAGGGGGGTGAATATCGCAAGCTTGCCATCCGATACGGACAAAAAGTCCAATTTAATCGAAGGGAAAGAGCGATTCTCGAGAGCCAATATAGCTGCACCACTTGCACGACAAAAGCGAAATAATAAAATAAAAAAAAGGAGGCACTCTTGCGTTGTTGCCGCATGCCTCGCCTCTGAATTGTTACCATCGGCTGTACATGACACGTTTTTTGGTTTAACATCGGGCTTTGACGGGAGAAACAAGTATCGTGATGTAAAGACAGTAATTAACTTTTAAATAAAGTTTTAATGTTCTTACATATACGTAGGGGGGGGGGGAATGCAATATATGAGGAATATAAAGGAAAAAAAAAAGAGAGAGAGAGAGCCTCGATTTGTTCAGGTGTGGGGAAAATGTCATGTAGCTCAACGTATTGGCAGTGACTGCTGCAACGGTGTAGCGCAGAATTCCAATTAAACGCAGCCACGCTAAATAAATGGCTCGATGGATTTTCCCCCATTGAATTCCGCCCTCGGCGCCCTCGTTCTCTTGAAAGGACGAAATGTCATTTAAGTTGAAAATAAATAGCAGTACCAATAAAATAGTATTGACGACAAAGTTAAAAAAAAAAAACAAAAAAAAAAAAACATTTTAATATATATTTTCAAATGTATATGTAGTGGCAGCTTCGGTATTTCGAATGAAATATCTTTTCTCTCGGAAACAAGTTTAGTGACAAACACAATCAGCGCAAGAGACTTTTCGAATAAAAAATGTTTACTTTCTTCTGAATTTTACGATAAGTATTTGAATAATCGACAGAATATTTTTCGATATAATCCCGAAATTCGTAGGTTTACAGCACAAATTACGGAATCTCGTAAAAAGATTTGATGAGCTAAATTAGAGAAAGGAATGAAAACTGAATAAGTATTTAAAATTGGTATGTTACAAATAAACGTGTAGTATTATTATTACCTACAGTCTACGCAAGAATAATTCAAGCGAGTAATTATTAGCCCATATTCATAATTACGCCCATGTAAAGTTGTTGTTTTTTTTTTTTTTTTTATAAGAAAAAGCATGGAATTAAAAACTACGTAAATGTATTTCAAGTACACATGATACGCACGACTCTCGTGATATGGCATTGAAATTAGTAAGAACTTTTTGAAGAACCAGTGATTGATGAGCATGTGCCCACACATAATTCCTCATCCTCGTCTATAAATATCCATCTTTGACTTGGATGACAAGCATACCACGATAAAGAGTCTAGTTACCGATTGAGTGATGATCAAAATAGATCCAATCCATTTACATTTAAAGCCCCCTTTTCTCGCAGTGGTAAAGTCACCAAGTACTACTTTTAATACGCTAGACCGATTGATGCTCGCATAGTTTAGAAAATGGCACTACTACTTCCCCTCAAACGTTCCACTTGAGATAACATGTACATTAGTGTCCTACATAATGTAGGGCTAGAAAAAGTTTTTAATCACACTTAAAACCTGCGATCGAAGACAGGGCAAGTGATTGATGATGGATTTGTCTCTACTTTGGTAAGAGTACAATTTTTTTGGCTCCGCAAAATGAAGATAAGACTACGTGTAGTACAACTAAAATCGATAACACTATTATTATTATTATTATTGTAATTACTGATTTCATTCCTGTTTGGAAATCCATACAACAATTTTTTTTTTTTTTCGTCTTAGGTGACGATAAACTTTTCGCAACACAAAAGTAATATTTTCAATTTTGATCGACAAAATTTTATAAATTCCACGTAGGAATGCATCATTTTGACGTATTACGATAAAAAAAGTAAACTGCATATTTTTCAAAATACAGCACAAGTTGTTGTTCAGAAATCCTGCTGATCTAGAGATGTACAAAACACCATGAGGTGACTGCTGCTGGCAGTATACCGTGTGCGGCGACAGTGCGGCACCCGGCTTGTAGCCCGATTATATAATTATACCAATAAACAATAATATTTGATCGTACATGGATGACACGCATTAATACACAGTGTCATCATCAACGAAATCAAGAGAATATAATACAGGGACACGTAAACCCTTTTGATTCTATGATATACTTAACGTTTAAAATAACAATAACTCGAACTATCGGAGTGAGCGCAATGATTTAAGCCAAGTACAGGTATAGAAGTAATAAGCGGACATAGCAAAGCACAATCGCGCGTACATCCGCGTATAGATGTATAGGGGGGTGGGGGGTGTCGTCGCGCCGCTTCTTTTCGCGCGTCTGGCTGCTTGATTTACATGAGCCCTGGTGCACCGCGCGCCCCCAATTTCTGGCCCCGCCTTCCCCCCCACGAGCAAATACACCCCCTTTCCATACAACGAGCCCGGCTCTCCTCCTCCACTCTCGACTTGGGAACAAACACGCACGGGTCTCTCCATCTTACAGCATCCGATGTAAGGTATATATTACATAGATATGGGTTTCTTGCGGGATAGTAATCAACTACGCGCGCGACAAAACACACTTTGTAATTTACCCTTTGTACGTATATAGGTTGTACACACGTCTCTCGAGCTTTTTTTCTATACTTCCGGCTGATGCGGACACCCATTTAAATATACGTATGACAATATATGTATAATTGTGTTAAAAACAATATTTCATCTGTGTATAAATGGTACGACGGAAAACTTTGATTTATGATATGACGCGTGTGACAGCGTTTGTCTTGAATTAACCAAGTATAAGTATATTTGCATACACACATGAATATGTATATATGTAACTCCTTCACGCAGTATCATAATGTCAAACATCATAAATTTCACGCATGTATAATATTATATGTGGGTATCGAATATGGATATACCATGTTGCATAAGTAATTATAGTGACTGCAGTTTCGTTTAATTACCGTTACTCTTAGAGCGAGTTGAGAAAAGTTAGGTGTATGATTTACGCGCGTGTTACGTATATACATATATATGTATACCCTTGAGTATATAGGGGCGCTTCTTTATTTCAGCTCTTAATGAAATCTTTGGCTTTCCGTGGGAATATACTTATACAAACGACAAAGTTTGCTTCGTTCCCAGTTGAACACGCGCACAATGGAAAGAAAAGGGAGCGCTCATTTTCTCCTCGCTCTCTATGCTCATTAAATTTACGAATGTCAAAAACTTTTTCCATCCCTCCCCCCCCCACACCCCTTGCCCCTTTGCGATTCCCGCCTCTTTTGCACAACAGCGCATATACATACATGTATAATATACACACGGAATAATCGTATATTTCATAAATGTGTGTGTGTGTGTGTATATATGTATGCACGGCGCACAAAAGAGCCGCTGCATTGCTCGAAACTCCCCGTAAGTTTCGCCCAACTTTGGGTTAGGAAAATCGCGAAAAGAAACGCGGACAAACAACCACCGCGTGGTACGAAAGGGAGGCGGTTTGAAAAAATTCTCGAAGCGGTTAATTTTTCATTAATAGCTCTTCGTTAAAAAATCCCTTGCGCTGTGCCGGTTGGTAGTAATAACGAAGTTAGGGCGCATCCGAGTTGAAGCAAGCGATTCTTTGCGGTTTCTGGATATCGCGAAACTGAAATTCTTCAAGGGCAAACGCGCAAATACTCATGAGGGAATCTAAGAGGAAGACGCGTATATATATATATATACACGAGAGCACCAAATGCAGTTTACTGGAGCGTGTATACGGAGGAAAAGGGAGGCAAGCAAAGCTATAGTCGGGGGGTTGGGGTAGAAAGAGAGAGAGAGAATAATCTCATCGTCTGCCGTATACGTCGGTATTAAAACCGAGTATAGCTATATGGCTCGAGTCTTTTGGTCCTCGCCCTTCCTTTCTCGGCTTGGATGCGTACCAAACCTACCCCTGGTGTGGCTGCCTCCACTATAAGGACGCCTCATTTAACCATATAACCGAGTAGGTATACAGGATGGAAAATATATATATATGCATCCACTGCTGAGCGCTAAAAAGGGTAGAAAGACGCAAGGGAGACGTATTTTGTATGTAATATTATACAGTAAATACAGTAACGCGAATTTTAATAACTTATTTCGATCCCACTCTATGTTATCACGTATGTATCCTATTACAATGTTCAAATGATAATGTGGTGTGGCAGTATGACCCGCGTGTACACAGTAGCGAGACTGACGTACATACTTGTATATAATGAGATATATCTAACGGGTATG